CTCCCGGCACATCGCCACCGCCAGCTTGTGGGTGCCGCCGGCCACGCCCTCCTTGCGGGGGCGGGGGCCCCGCGGGGGGGGGAGGGGGGGCCCCCCCGCCTCTGCGCTGGGGGGGGGGCGCCCCGCCCGCGGCAGCCTCCCCAGACCCCCTCGCGTCGTGAAAAAATCGCGGCGCAGAAGGTTCTTCGCTGTTGTCGCCCTCTGGGGGTCCTCGCCGGGCCTCGGGACCGCCAAAGAACGACGAGGGACGAGAAACCGGTCCCGGGGAATGGGTCGAGGCCTCGGGGGTTCGACGTCGTGAAAAAATCATGAAGTCGGGGGTCTGGGTCCGGCGATGGGCAGCGGGGAGCAGGGCTCGAGCCAGACGGTGCTCTGTTCGACCTCGCTCTGTTTTTGTTGCTCTCCTCAAACAAATGGATACCAATAGCAGGATTTTTGCATATTTCCCCATATTTTCTGAGTTTTCGTCGTCCCCCCCCACTTCCCATATTTTCCCATATTTTCTAGGGAATCGACGATTCATTGTGTCTGTGTTTCTTCCTCCTGAAAGAAGTCGAAACGAAAAGGGTCCACGAGATCACCCAAACACGGTGCAGCTCCAGCCCTGGCGGGATCTGGCGGGGAGGGGACTGCTGGCTCACCGAGCGAAGAAAAACGCGCCCGACACCTGGGAGGGGGGGGAGATCCGCACGGGCCCCCGTCGGGCCTCACGCAGCCTTGCTTGCGACTTTCGGCCAGGGGCCGCAGGAGGGGGGGGGAAGGGGAGCGCGGAGGCGGGGGAAGGAGGGAGCAGGGAGAAGGGGAAGGAGGGCGGAGGCGAAGGAGGAACGAGAGCGAAAAACGGTTTCTCCCCTCCACCTCCGCTGGCTCCTGGCTGGTGCGCCGGTGATCCTGGTCGGCCTCCTCGTTGAGATGGACTCGCCATCCGCTGGGAGACTCGGGGCTCTCGGGGACCTCCGCGTGGGCCTTCAGCTTAATGAGGTCTTGGAAGAAGGAGGAGGAGGAGGAGGAGGAGGAGGAGGAGGAGGAGGAGGAGGAGGAGGGGGAGGACGAGGAGGAGCCCACAAGGCAACGAAACGGCCCCTCGGGGCCCCTCGAGGGACCACGCCAGTCATGGCGACCGAGAGCATGGCATTGGAGTCTCCTGTGTACGCCGCCGTGCCATCACTGTACGTGGTCCCTGGGCCGACAGCTGCGTGCTCTGCCGAACCCGCCTTCTGTAAGACCATGAGGCAGGGTTCCCACGAGGCTCAAAAGCTTGCACGTGGCAGGGTCCCTTGACACCCCTCCGACCCCCCCCCCGGAGCGACTCAAGGACGCAAGTCGAGGCCGATCTATCTCCGGCCACGGACTCGCTTGGCAGTGGTGACGAGGCCTACACCCTCCTGCAGCTGTTCATGAACACGCTGCTCGGGGTCACAGGGTCGGCCGCCTCCACGGCCGAGGCGAACCTAGTAGGCACTACGCCGCACCATGCGTCGTCTTTGGACTTGTAAAGGTAAGACGACCTATAAGAGTGACACGATCTTTTTCAGTTCACCAAGCAGCACCATAAGCGTGCCTATATACGCGACTATAGTGGCATGACTTCGCACGGCCACCCGCTGCTGCTGCGGGTCTTTTCGGACGGGCCATCGGCGGAACCCGCAAAGGTCAACGGGTCGCGGCTGTCGCCCCTAGGATCACCCCTACGGCATCACTGCGGATTCAGGCGACGACTCGGTGACGAGGGTGCCTCGGCCAAAACATAATAAAAGTCCTTTTTCTTCGTGCTCTGTGGGTGCGGTTTTTTGGCCGATACGAGTCTCTGTTGATTGTCATTCTGGGGGGCTTCGACAGCGGGGGCGCGGTGGCCTGGCGTTTTCACCCGGCCGCCCCTTGTTTTAAAGGGCCTGCCGCTGGGGCTGCTCTGCGGTACAATCACGGCGCGGCATCATATGAGTGCCAAAATCTTTGCGGGGTCACTCCAGGGCAAGGGTGCCCCACTTCACCATTCGCCCTCTGTTGGCAGGAAATGCGCGTGATGCCAAGCTTGCTTCGTCATCTCCAAGCGAACGCCCTCAGAACATACTCGTGTGGGGCAACCGAAACGGCAAGCATTAGTTGGAGCTGGCATCGCGGCAAACACTGCCTCTGCAAGCCATGCACGCCCGGCTCGCTTCACTCCATGCCACGCCCTGGTCTTCGCGCCCCTGGTAAGCGAAACCGGGCAGCAGAACACTCGCTGCTCCAGCGCGCCCCCTGTCCCGCGGCACGTAATCACACAAGCCGATGGTGAAATGCACCCGCTTCACCACCCTGCACTTCGACGTATACGTCCAGCGAGGAAAGCACATGCCGAGTGAGGCCGTTAACGCACTTGCTGCCCACGGTGGCCCCCACGGCTTCCCGACGCGCGCCTGGAAATGCCTCGCCCCACGAAGCCCCTCACGCGAGGCAGTATCAACATCAGCCATCTGAGAGGCACACAACATGACACCGCTGGCCGCCGCCTCCTTCGGCCCCTTGTTCTGCATCGTGGCCTCGCGGACAACTGGCGGGAACGTAACATCGTATCAATCGGCCCCGCTTCTGGTCTGTCGTATAAATAGTCGTGGTAGGCAGCGTGCGAATCCCCTCGGAGCTCTTTCATTGCGGGAGGGGGCCAAAAATGGAGCGTGAGGAAGGGTAGAGGAGGAGGAGAAAGACAAGGACAGAAACCGGCGCCGATGTGCGCCCCGGGGGGGGCGGCCCTCTAAGAGCTCGGCGGGGGCGCCGGAGCGCCGAAACTCAGATGTCGTAGTACATGTTTACTTTAGGATCTCGAGTGTGTACTATTGGCTCCACTGGTACAATCCTTCCCATAAGTTTGAACATCCATCCTCGTAGGGAGAAGGGGCGCGTTTGCCTCGCATACGTTTGTGCGAACCCCATCACCTCGGCCATAATTGGTGAAAGTTGTGCATTTATTCCCAGAGCTCGTCTGTCTTGCTCAGCGGGTCTCCAGTCCCATGGTGAAATTTGTTGCATACATTCCGCCAAACACAATATCGATGCATGAACTCATAACGGTGTTCCACTTCAACCCTCGATAACCTCGTGCAATTTGGACTAGGGAATGTTGATCCGCATTCCACAATTTGGTTCCCACACGTATCCAACACCAGACCTATGTAACTTGTTTCGTCCTCCGCATCGATGAACACATCGATTCCTGTCTGACCACTCGAGATTCGTCCGTCAATTGTGGCCTCCACTTCCGTGATCGTTTCATCTTCACTAGATACGCGACTCGCCTCACAAGAAGGGGTGCCGTCTCGACCCATTACGCCACTGCTGGCATTATCACGAGCGCTTGGCATGACAAGTGTCTGCTCTGCGATCTCTTCCACAAGTGCAACCTTGGGCACTTCGACAACCTTCTCGACGTAGTCAAATTTAGGTACCTCAACATACCAAGTTGTCCCTTGCATTGCTACGATCGGTTCCATTGGGACAGGGTGCTGACAACATTGATTGGCCTGCACTTCTGCACGCAAAGTGTGGGACTCGACTTCGCCCAGCCGGCGGATTATATCAAACTGGTCATTCAATATCGCGCCAAGCTTTTCTACGATCACTTATGCAAACCTTCTGCGTTCCCCGTCGCGGGTCCAGTCTGTATTGCCATCGCTTTTCCAAACACACATATTTGCTGCTCGACGTTTCATGCCATTGTTTTTTGGCCCATGCCATGGCGCAGATGCAATGAATGAAGGGGATGTTTGCTGACTGCTTGGGGCTTGAACCTCACGTGAGCCTTGAACCCTGACGAGAAGGAGGAGGAAGAGGAAGAGGGGGAGGAGAAGGAGGAGAGAGGACAGCAAAAGGAGGACGGTAAAGAGAAGTAAGGTAGAGGAGGAAGAGGGGGAGGAGGAGGAGGAAGAGGAGGAGGAGGAAGAGGAGGAGGAGGAAGAGGAGGAGGAGGCAGAGGAATTCAGGAGAGGGTAAAACATAAAGAGAACGGTGGTGGTGAGGAGGAGGAGGAGGACGAGAGGGGATTAAGGAGAAGGAGGAGGAGCATGAGGAGGAGAAAAACGAAAGACAGGTGAACTATAATCAGAAGTAGGAGGGTTATGAGTAGGATGATACAAGACGAGGAGGAGTTGAGGAGGAGCAGGAGCAGGAGGAGGAGCAGGAGGAGGACCAGTGTAACCCCAAGAATCATCAACGATGTTGGAATAAACCCTCCCTCCAAGCTCCCTCTTCATAGGCCCTTGCAACGATTCATTTCCACTGGGGGAACTGCCTCGATGGGAGACAACCGTTTGAAGACCCTGAAGCATGCCAAATCATTGCTCACGGGATTCCAACGCCAGGGGGGCAACTTGACTGTTGCGTCTTGGCAATCCTGAACCGCGCCAGAACACCATCCCTGGGACTTCCACACCGCGAACCGACGTAATTGTTGCACCCTCATAATCTAGAATCCTTCCCAAATACCGTTCTTGATACCCTGATCATGGGAATCCGTGAGACTCTTGCAAAAATAAAGACCAATGTGCGTTGCGCGAAAGCGGAAAAAACACATTTTGAAAAGGACCCGCCCTCAATCCGTGAAACTCTTGCAAATGTTTACACTGCATGTGCGCGGCGCCAAGGCGAGAGCCACATTTTGAAAACCATTCGCCCTCAATCCGTGAAGCTCTTGTAATGTTCTTCAAAACAAAAGTACGCAGCGCTGAAGCGAGAACCACATGTTGAAGACGACCCGCCCTCCGTCTGTGAAACTGTTGCCAGTGTTAAGCTTCAGGGTCGTAAATGGTGAGGAGGTCTCAGGCGAAACGCCCGGCCCGCCCTAAAAACTTACCTCGGGGTGCGACACGGAGAAGTTGTGTATCAGGAAGAGGAATGGAGGAGGAGGAGGCAAGGTAAGGCAACACACTTGGGGAGATGAGTCCCCACGGCGGTAATTGCCACTCGGGCTCTTCTGGCCTCCCTGCGAATGGAAACACTGGACAGGGTTTCGGATCAACCACAAATCGCGATACCGCTGCCTGCCGAGGACGACCCTGTGGGCTCACGGCCTCCCCCCCCTTCCTCCCCCCCCGTCCCTGCCGAGGCCAGGCAGACAAGGTGACCTCCCTGCAAGGGGCGAGGCACTCGTCCTTCAAAATTTGAACAGTCGGGGGACACGGGGCTGGCGAGGTCAGCTCTCGCGATGCCCTCTCCCCGAGAGGGCCTGTCGACACGACTACCGGACGAACTCCCACACACCGCCCCACCACCTCCCCCCGCCTCCCCGCCATCAGCAACTTGTGCGGGCGGTGGACAATTCTCGTGCGAAATACTCGCGGCGACCTTCTCCCTTGCTATTGGATATTATAACTGCACTGAACCAGATGTGTGAAAGCAATATCCTACGGTATCTGCGTCAATTGGTAGCGATCTCATGTCTTTTCTACAACTCCAATGTCCATCCACATCCACATCGTACTGCGTCGTGCACTTCCTTTACTTCACAAGGGAACTCCATGCTTGACAGGACGGCTTTCATCGTTGGCTGATTTCCTGGGACCGGAACATCATATACCCAATAACTTCTTCTCGTGCTTCTATTTCGTCGCGCAGGCTAGTTACAGCGGACGGGAACACGAGCAAAGCCCCCTTCTCTCCCTTGGCCTCTAATTCTCCTTCCAGCAACAATAACTGCACGGCAACACGTATTTCACTGTGTGTCCATCCTCTTTGCTATAATATCCGTAAGGGATTCGCCCCATGCCGCCGGCCCCCTGTCTCGGATATTGGGAGATGCAAAAACTAAATCATGAGGTCTGGGCGCCGCCGTGAAGCAGCGTCGGGACCTGTTTGTTTTTGGATGCCGCCGAATTTCAGAAATGTGGCAAATCCCATGTGTTTTCGGCTCCTGACCCTGCCGATCTGCGTGAGGGGTGCCACCGAATTGTCAAAATGCGGCAAATCCCATGCGTTCTTGGCTCCTGACCCTGCCGATCTGCGTGAGGGGTGCCACCGAATTTCAGAAATGCGGCAAATCCCATTTGTTTTTGCACCCTGACCCCGCCGATCTGCATGAGGGGTGCCACCGAATGTCAGAAATGTGGCAGATCCCTTGTGTTTTTGGACCCTGACCCCGCCGATCTGCGTGAGGAGTGCCAGCAAATTTTTAAAAATGTAGCAAATCCCATATGTTTTTGAACCCTGGCCCCGCCGATCTGCGTGAGGGGTGCCACCGAATTTCAGAAATGTGGCAAATCCCTTGTGTTTTTGGACCCTGACCCCGCCGATCTGCGTGAGGGGTGCAAATTTTTACCCACCCCAGCAATTCAGACAACACGCTCATGGCGTGGTAAGTGTCCGTTTTGGGCCTCCCCCCCTCGCGCGGTCCATCAACAAGGAACAGTAAGCAGCAAGAAGCAGAACTGTAACAGTGGGAAGTGGAAGCTGCAATTGGTACAGGAAACTGCGAACCTTCGGCCTACAGCCTGGTGGCCCCACAAGGGGGCTGGCGGACTTGAAATGTGTCGGTGCTTGCGTGTTCCCCATGCTCTTCACGAAATTTGCGTGCAAACTCCAGTACGGCAGATTCCAGCTCAGATGGCCAACTCGTTTCGTCCATTGAGCTGTCTTCATACTCCTGGCAAGTGTCCTGCCCACGTGCATGTTTTGTAACATCGGGATGCGCTATGTGAGAAACCGTTCGGGGGCCGGGAAGGAGGTTCTCCTCAATACAACCTTGCGGCTCTGACCCAATTGAACCGAGTGCCCCCCCCCCTTCCCAGCCCCCTCGGCTTCCAAATCCACCTAAACAACATCCACCAGCGGCTCGCCTTTCCCATCGTGCTGTGGCAGCCCCGCCTGAGGTGTAAAAGAGAAGCCATGTAAGATTCCAAGTTTCACTATTTGAGTTTTTCTGCCGTGGCTCCTTCGCGTTCTTTCCCTTCTCCGCATGCTCGAAGCCTTCCTTTCTGAAGTCCCAGCCGGCTCCACTTTGCAATCATAGGTCGCACATTCTTCAAAAGACGGCGGCACAAGACATCAGCGAGTGGGGAAACGGCTAGTACAGTACGAGGAAGGCGTGTCAGGTTACAGGTCCGCCCCCTGGCCCTCGCCCCCCTGGCCGCGGGAAACTGATTGTGGGCCCTGTTCCGGTCGGGGGTGCTTATGTGAGTGTGGCTCGGTCGGAAACCCTTCTGGGCCCTTCACGCCGACTAGGAGGAGGAGGAGGTTTGGAGGAGGCAGAGGAGGGGGAGGGGGCGGCTCCGCCTGTGTCTCCGCCTTATCATCATCATCATCATCATCATCATCATCATCATCATCATCATCATCATCATCATCATCATCATCATCATCGTCATCATCATCATCACCATCATCACCATCATCACCATCATCACCATCATCACCATCGTCAGCAGCAGCATCAGCAGCATCAGCAGCATCAGCATCAGCAGCATCGACAGCATCATCATCATTCTCATCAACAGCATCATCATCAACATCATCACCACCATCATCATCATCAGCATCATCATCTTCATCATCATCAACGGCAACATAATCAACAACACCAGCAGCATCCTACTCATCGTGATGCTCACGCTCCCCCTCCTTCTCCTCCTCCTCCTCCTCCTCCTCTTTGTACTACCTCCTCTTTATCCCCCTCTCCTCCTCATCATCATCCTCATAGTCCTCATCACCATCACCATAACAATCACCATCACCATCATGGACCATCACCATCACCATCACCATCACCATTACCATCACCATCATCAACAACATCATCATCAGCAGTAGCCTCAGCATAAGCATCAGCATCACCATCACCATCATCATCATCATCCTCCTCCTCCTCATCATCATCATCCTCATCCTCATCCTCATCCTCATCCTCATCCTCATCCTCATCCTCATCCTCATCCTCATCCTCATCCTCATCCTCAGCATCAGCATCAGCATCATCATCATCATCATCATCATCATCATCATCATCATCATCATCATCACCCCCCCGGGGCCGCGGGGGTCCATCTTCTCTAGCCCTTTGATCAACTTTCTGGATGCCTTCTCGGCATCCTCGACCAGGCGCTCGGTGTCCCAAGAGACCACTTTGTCCTGCCCGTCACCCACCCTCGCCGAGGTCCTGGGCCTCGAGCCTCCTCGTGCCAGTTAATGCTCCTGCGCCTGCTCCTTCTTCGCAGAGGTCCTGGGCCTCGAGCCTCCTCTTGCTCATGCTCCTGCCCCTGCTCCATTCTCCTCCTCCTCCTCTTCCTCCGCCCTTTCCTCCCTCCTCCCATTTCCTCCCTCCTCCCTTCTGTTCCAATTTCACATGGTTGTCCCCCAACGGGGGACTTCCCTCAGTGGAAACAAACCCTTGTAGGGGCCTGCGCAGAGAGAGAGCACGCAGGGAGAGTGTATTCCAACATCGCTGATGAGTCTTAGGTTTACACAGGTCCCTTCTTCTCCTCCTCCTCCTCCTCCGAAGCAGCAGCAGCAGCCGTTTGGGCTCAAACCCTCCTGACCTCGAGCCAATGTTTTGCACGCGGCTGTCGTGCTGGCCGATATCAAACCCGCCCTCGCGGGGCGAGGCTGAGCCCGCGGTCGCGAACAGAAAGGCTGCCTGCGTCACGGCGACAGGCGCCACAGTCCCGAACAGAAGCGGCGTGAGGAACACCTTGCCCTGCACGCGCAGGCCTAAAGCGGATGCGCCAGCCCAAGATCCAGATCCAAAAGCAAAAAAGAAGGCACCATCCGTCGTCAAGTGTTCCCCGAAGAGTTTCCACAACGGCTGGGGGAAAACATGGTCCGATAGTTTGGCAGAGCTCTTGCCACAACGCTCGGCCACGTGGACGATTTGAAAGGCAAGGAGCGGCGGTGATTCGCCGTAGGCGTATTCGATTATGTGTAATGAGCACTTTCTCCGACATTGCGGCTTGGAGCCGATCGGGTAGAGCGAAGCGAAAAGAAATACGAGGAGGCCAAAGAGGATGAACCCAGCCAGCTTGGCAAGAAGGCCGGGGAGGATAGTGATGTCCTCTCTGCGCAAAAGTGAGCGCGAAGGTCTGGCGCAACAGGCAGTGGACAATTGGAGGCAGTTGAAACTAGACACCTCATCATGGCGCGTGGACGCCACGGCCGCTTTCTAGGGATCGATGGACATACAAAGGCTTCGGCGCACAGCTTCATATTTTCCAAATGTTATGAAATTGTCGCGCGTAAGGGGACTACTTCGGGGAGATCGTCGCCGCCCCTACGCTGTCTGGCCATATTTCGAGAGGACACCATCCTCGTACACATTTCGGTTGATGAAGGTCACTGTCGGTGACTGGGTCAACTTCTAGTGCCGATCCGATCCTGAGGAGCGTATAGACGAGTGAGATGGTTGGTGCGCTTCCAGCGAATCGGAAGATGGCACGGCATCTGCATCGTTTGGGAGACCCGTCGCCTTCGCTACATTCCCAGCATATTTCAAGAACCAGCGCATGGGCTGCCACGCGCCAAGGCTACGCGAGTGCCTCAGGGTCATTGTTAGCGGCAGCATGCTCGCGGTGCTGCAGTTCGACCTCTCCGGCTCCCAGCCGCGACGCGCCCTGGCCAGGAGTGGGGAGAAATATTCTGCGAGATTGCCCTCCTCCTCCTGCTCCTCCTCCGGTAAGGGGACAAAAAAATGGAACCCCTTCGTCTTCGGCCCCGCATTCGTCCCCCCCCTCCCCCCAATTTCAAAGTTGAGTTCGGCCTCTCGGAGGCCCTGGGGGGTCCACTTTTTTTGTCCTCTCACGCCTGTGCTCCCAAATGCTTGAGGCCAACTTTGAAATTGGGGGAGGGGGGGCGTGGTGTCAAGGGTTCCACTTTTTTGTCCATCTACGGTCCCGCTCCCTCTCCTGCCCCCCCATCTCCTCGCCCTCCTCGGCCTCGGCCCCCTCCTGCTGCCGCCGCCGCGCCCCCATCCAGGGAGCCTCGCGTGCGCCCCTACGGGGCGTGCAAGGGGCGCTGCCCGAGTGGCTGCCGGAGTGGCGGCGCGGAGTGCCCGAGAAGTGCTTCGGGCGCCTGCCTGCGCCTGCCTGCCACAAGGCACCTGCCCCTCCCCCCCCTCCTCCTCCTCCTCCTCCTCCTCCTCCTCCTCCTCCTCCTCCTCCTCCTCCTCCTCGGCACCTCCCCCCATAGGAGGCATGCCCTGTGGGCCTGCCAGAGCGGCTGCAGCGAGCGGCGCGGCCGAGGCTGCGACGGGCCGCGCGGGGCGCCGAGGCGAAAGAGCGTGCAGTGCTGCCTGGTTTTTGGGGAGGCGGGGAAGCGGCACACAGGCGACAAGGGTTGCGACAAGCAGGCCACGGACGCGCATCACTGTTGCGAGACTTTCGCGGCAATCGGGGCGGGGGGGCATGCGCCAACCCAAAAGAAAACACCAGCGGCAAACCTGCAACAATGTCGTTGATATGATCTCCGTGGCAGGCAGGCCCGTGGTAATCAAACAGGCGCCTGCCTATGCTGGTCGCGCACGCATGCACAGGCCGATCCTCGGAATGCGCTCGGGTTTGAAACTGTGCATACCGCGCAGGCCGAGTGGTTGTATCGCTTCTGCTGCTATCGCAAGTCAGAAAGAAAGGTCCGCAACTATGCCAGCCGCCGTGACCCGACATACCGAGGGGTAGCGCTAGGGGGGAGCCAGCTCAGGGGGGAACACGGAGTTGGAATCGGTGATACATCGCCGAAAGATCAGCGACAGGCTCCCAACAGCAAATCCGCACGGTCCTGGGAGGGGCGTGCTATCAGGCCTCTATCGGCGATGGAGGGGTGATTGGGGGTCGATGCGTCCCCCCATGAGCCCATCCCTGACGTTGCCCCCAACACATGAGTCATCCCGCTCTCCTCCTCCTCCTCCTCCTCCTCCTCCTCCTCAGAACCTCAGAACCTCGGAGCTGCCAGAGTTGGCACCAAGGTGGCGCCGCCCTCCCCGCCCCCGCCGCCGAGTGGGGGGCAGAAGAAGAGCCAGCTGGCGGTGGCTGCAAGGTGAGAGCGCCAAGGGGAGGGTACCCCTCCTGGGGGAGTGTCTGCCAGGACCTCCAACGTCCCCTGGACGGTGGGGAGGAGAACAACGCAACGGCGACGACCCTGCGACCGTCCTCTTCCGCCTCCTTCTCCTCCTCCTCCTCCTGCTGCTCCTCCTCCTCCTCCTCCTCCTTCCTCCTCCTCAGCACCTCGGGAGCCCGCGAAGCCCGCTCTCGAGAAGAAGGCCTGCAACGAACGCGCACCCCGAGCCCATGAAGAGGAGCAGCGCCCACCAGATACTCCAAATCTCATAATAAAGGGGAGGGGGTCAAAAAAGTGTTTGACAGCCCGAAGTAGACCCCCCCCCCAGACAGGCAACAAAGGGTCCAAAATCGAGACCCCCCCACAATTGTGTTTGACGAAGCCCGTTAGACCCCCCTCAAAAGCAGACCCCCCCCCATTGTTATGAGATCCGGAGTAGACGTTCCGGCTGCCGCTCGAGCCACAGTGGCGGTCGCACTGGCACACGCCCTGGGTCGGCTTGCCCACCAGCTCTGCCAGCAGGTGGCACTCGCCCGACGCGGCAGCCGCCGCCGGCACGGGCGCCTCGCAGGCGCACTCCACGGGCCTGGGAGATGTCAGCGCGCGGGCGAGGGCCAACTCACGGAGTGCTGAGAGTGCGGCACGGAGGGGCCGAAAGCTTCCATAAAGGTTCTGTCTTGAACCCAAAAAACTGCAGAGCGTAGAACGGATGCCGAGGTCGAGCCATTACCGTGGGGCACAACCATCAGCTTCAGCATCAGCATCATCTTCATCATCATCATCATCATCATCATCATCATCATCATCATCATCATCAGCATCATCATCATCATCATCATCATCATCGTCGTCGTCATCATCATCATCGTCGTCACCATCAGCAGCAGCATTAGCATCATCATCATCAGCAGCAACATCATCATCATCAGCATCATCACCATGATCGTCATCAGCAGCATCATCAGCATCGTCATCATCACCACCATCACCATCGTCATCACCATAATCATAATCATCATCATCAGCAGCATCATCATCAGCAGCATCAGCATCAGCATCGCCATCATCACCACCATCACCATCGTCATCACCATCGTCATCATCAGCATCCTCATCAGCAGCATCATCACCATCATCATCAGCATCATCATTGTTACCATCATCATCACCATCATCATCATCATCGTCGTCATCAACTCAGCAGCAACAGCATCAGTATCAGCAGCAGCATCAGCACCATCATCAACATCATCACCAGCATCAGCATCATGATCACTATCATGATCAACATCATCATCAGCATCATCAGCATCATCAGCAGCATCAGCAGCAGCATCAACAGCATCGTCGTCGTCATCATCGTCATCGTCATCGCCACCGTCGTCAGCATTACCACCATCATCACCAACACCACCATCACCACCACCACCATCATCATCATCATCATCAGCATCACCATCATCAACATCATCACCATCATCATCATTATCATT